AAAATACACCATTTCATCATATGAAATGAACATATAAGAGCTGTAGCTTAAAGTGTGATCCTTGGGCTATCAATAGCACTGGCATCACCTAGGAGCTTGCAAAAGTGCAGAATCCAGGCCCCTCCTCAGCTTTATTCAGTCAGAATTTGTGTTTTAACAATATCCACAGGAGACTTGCATGCTTCAAGTTTGCGAAGCACTAACATGCAGTCCCTGCCACTCAGAGGTTCACAAACTGGTAAATCATCCAAACATACAAATGCCAGAGAAATACATAGTTCTTTACACTCATGTGTCCAAGCTCCACCGGGTTATGTCCTGGTCATTTAAATAAAAGGGAGCAAGTGAGGAGGGGACTGGAGAGTTAGAGCCATTTATTGAAGTGAGATGGGTAGTAGAAGGGAGACGGGTGGTGGAAGGGAGACGGGTGGCGGAAGGGAGACGGGTGGCAGAAGGGAGACGGGTGGTAAAAGCTTATATTTTTCAAGTGATCAATATGTGCAAATAACTGTTTTAAGGACTTTACAAATTTTAATTCTGAGCAACAACCCTATAAGGTCAGTAGTACTGTCATTCCCCTATTACTGCTGCGTAAACCGAGTCACACAGAGAGAAGGTCCATTTCCTTAGGCCACTCGGCTAGCAAAGACCCTGGCATCCACGCTCGTCCACTCTTCCTCTAGACTGTCTCAAAGAAACTGTAGCTCAATACATGGGTGACTATTATGTCACCAGTATCATTATATATCCTGTTAAGGGGCTGCTGTCCCAGGCAGGCTACTACATCTAAGACTCCAAGGCAGAGGAGCGCAGTCACAGGACAGGACAGGACACCAGCCATTGAGTGCAGCCCTGCAAGCCACCATGGAGCTATGACCGCCTCCACATCTCTGGCCTCACCTCCAGATCCCTCCTGACAACCAGGCCTGGCCTTGCAGACAAAGCCAAGCGCTGTCCACTCAGCTCTGAGGACTCTGTCCTCATCTTACTGTTGGGAAGATGGAGGGTGGCTGCTCTTGAGGTGGCTGTGACTGTCACTCAAGTCACGGCTGGTCAGATATGGGCAGGGACAGGTCACATCTCTGCTTTCAGTGGCTGCCTTAAAAATCACTGCACTTACTTCCTCTTTTAGGCTGATTGTACAAGACGTGCACTGGCTGACATGGCTCCAGTTATTTGTAGGTTTGGGAAATGCATGGGAAATGCTGCTGACCACAGTGAGCCAGAGTCATCTCAGGTTTGAGGCAATTTGCTGAAAGCATAGGCTTGATAGTGAGACAGTACTGCTGGTGCTGCGGTTCCCCAGCTTCTTGCTTAGGTAAAATAATCTCTCCAAGTCCTAATTTTCCCATCCATAAAAAAAGGAAACAATAGTGCCAACTTTGCAAGCTTTTGTGAGATACAAGAGCTCTGATACCAGAATTTACAGACAAGAGACGGCGGCGAGATCCCTGTGGCACACTTAGCAGGAACAGTGGTTCCTGCACTCAAGTAAATACAAGTAGCCACTATCATTATTGCTGTGCCTATTTTTAGTACCCAAGCAGCCTCTTTCATGCTAGGGGACCACCAAAAAGAAGGAATTAGAGGTCGTCTTTACCAAACGTTTGACATTACACCTCACTATGAGGATGCTCTATAAGAAAAAAAGGTGTGTGTGTGTGTGTGTGTGTGTGTGTGTGTGTGTGTGTGTGTGTGTGTGTGATAGTTAATGGTGATTTGGACTGTTAAGTATTGAGTGAATAGCTCCTTGGATGACCATTGCATTCTCCTGGTGTCCTGAACAGGTTTTATTTGTAACATGGGAGGCAATCCAGCCCTTGAAAGAAAAAAACCAAATAATAAAAATCTTGCCATAAATCCCCCAAAGTAGGACAAATATTTTTCAAGGAGACTCTCCAAGAAGCTCTAAAGCCCTTGGGGGCCATCACTGAGCCTTCCCACCACCCTTGGTTTCCTTAGGTGTATTTCATAGGTATGTAATTAGAAAAATGTTCAAATATCAGAAAGTGAACCTGAGTAAGTAGGGCCAGGAAAATCGTCCTCTTGCTCTCTGAGTGAGCGGATCATATGATTGTCAAGGTCAGTGGCTCTTAGCTTTTCAGGGTTCCTTGGGAAAGGTCTTCATGAAAGCCACAGCACACACTTCTGAGGCCCCTAAAAGAAGTCCTAATTAATGGGCTTATCCCATACACCAAAAATATTTGTTGAATGGGGAAAAAACAACCTAATTAACTAATTAGAGCAAGAATTCTTAACCCGGTTCCGAGTGTCTAATGAACTACCTGAATTGTCAGCAGCATTGGCTATGTAGCTACATTCCTGGGGAAAGGTCTACATACAATTCACAAAAGCTCTAGAGTCCAAAATGATTAAGAATCATCGCTTTTTCCTTCTCATTCCCTGGCCATCTTGGTGGCTGTCCTTGGCTAGGGGCCATCCCACACCTAAGGCAGAAATATGGTGGCCACAAAGAAGATGAAAAAGTTGCTAGAATCCATCAACTCTAGGCTTCAAGTTGTTATGACAAGCAGAACGTACGTGCTGGGGGACAAGCTGACTCAGAAGATGATTGACAAGGCAAAGGGAAACTGTCATCCTTACCAACTGTCCTGCCTCAAGCATCCCAAATAGAGGACTATGCCACGTACTCTCAAAACTGCTGCCCACCACTGTAGCAGCAACAACAGTGACCTGGGCACAGCATGTGGACGATACTTCAGGGTCTGTACCCTAGCCATCGCTGATCCAGGTGATCCTGAGACTGTTAGAACAGTGCCAGAACAGACTGGTGAAAAGTAAATCATGAAAATCTGTTCTTTAATGAAACTGGCCAGAGCTCAGGCTGGGGGGGCGGGGGGAGAGAGAGAGAGAGAGAGAGAGAGAGGAAAGTAAAAGAAAAGAAAAGAAAAAGAGCCACAGCTTTGGAGCAGTATTTTTTTTTTTTTTTGTGACCGGTAAGGGGATCAGAACCCTTGGCTTGGTGTCTCCCACACCACACTCAGCCAGTGAGCGCGCCGGCCATCCCTATATAGGATCCGAACCTGCGGCCTCGGTGCTCCCAGCGCTGCACTCACCCGAGTGAGCCACAGGGCCGGCCCTGGAGCAGTATGTTGAGGGAGGAATTTCTATGCTAAGACACTGGGTAACTTTGGCATATCCAAGAAGCAGCAACATCAGGTGTCTGAATTCCAGCTTCAGTGCACTCCCCGCCTCCTGGCCTCTAGCTGCTGCCCACAACCCAGTCCTCTCTCTTTCCAGAAGGCTGTCTCCAATCCAACCAGATCCCCTCCGTCTTCCTTCAGGACTGCATGCTCAAGTATAAAAGCCTACTTCCCCTGCCACAGTCTGTCCCCTGAGAGGAAGACAGATTGTGCCTTCCATCACCCAAATTATTTTCAGAGGCTCCTTACTATTTCCCAGGGTACAAAAGCCCTCACATGGTTTCTTATACAATAAGAGCCTATGATTGTGGATTTGTGTTTACACCCTGGTCGGTGTCATCTGGTCATGGTGGCCGGGTTGTTTATTCTAGACTCTGAACTGCCAGGGGACCACTGCTGTTTAATTTTCTTTTGTGTAGGAGGTGTTCAAAGCAAGAGTTTAATGACAGCCTTCAAAATCATTTCAAATTTTGCAGCACTGTTTACTAAGATTGGGGGAGCTGGTTTTGTCAAAAGCCTAACCTATGGCTTCAATTAATTTGGACATTTTTATTTTTCTTACCCTGTTCTCAAATACAAGGGTTATCTTCTTTTTAAATCATTGCAAATCTGGTATCTGTCTCAGCTCCTCCCACAGTCTCCTGCTTATGGGTTAGAATTTTCATTTTACTAAGAAAGGGAGAAATGCTTGCTGGGGAATAGTTTCAGGCATTCAAAGCCCTCCCGATCTTGGTTTAGAAAAGCGAGGTGTTTTCCCAGCAGCTTTGAAGGAGGCACGTTAAACATCTCATTTTGTTTGCTTGCTCCTCTTGGCTCCATCCCACCCACAGGGTGCCACAGCCCTGTCTTTCCCGATAGCAAAGCCCTCCTGTCTCAGTAGCTGTCCTGCTACTCACCCCTGAATCACTCTAGACGGCGCTGCCTCTTCCGGACACGCAGCGCAAACGTGAGAGGGCTTTGCACCCGCGCCCCTTCCCCGGGGTGACCTCCGGAGGCCCGAGGCCATGCAGAGTGCCAGTGCCCTCCCGCTTTACCCATCCCGATCAGCCTGCTTCGGATGATGGACCACGTCCCTGCTGGCTTCATGTCCACCAAGAGTGCTTCAGGCACTTCGGTGACCACAGTTAAGCATCCTGGGTGCCTCCATCTAATTAAGGCCGCAGGTTTGGCCCGAGCCCGGTGCGAGGCTCCTGGAGCTACGCTCATTGCACTAATCTCCCCAGAACTTATCTGCCCACTCGACAGCCCCCACGGCCCTGAGAGGGACTCCCAAGGGTTGTTCCTTTCTCCGCCAAAGTTTACTTATTTTTGAAACACAAACAAGGCCCAAGATGGGAATCCTTGACCTTCTGCACCCTTCTCCCCTGGGTCTCCTCACTGGACAAGGCTAGTCGTATTCCGCATTGCGCATCCTCCACCCACCGCCATCTAAATCCAGGGTCAGTCTCTCCGAGCTGCAAAGATCCCCTATGAGGATGTGCCCCCAATTTCAGCTCATCTGACCCAGTTAAGGAACCAGAATGGGAAAAGCATCCTGCAGTCACGCGCTTTGGGCGGGGGCCAAGCGAATCCGCAGCGCTCCCGCCCCGCACCCCGCGCCCAGCCCTGATGCCCCCCGGGCGGCCTCAAGCGGCAGCCGAAAAGCGTCAGTGCAAAGGGCAGAAGCAGCTAGGGCGGGGACAGCTGGCAGGCTCCGGATGACGTGAGCAATGAGAACATCTGGAAGTGGCACTAAGGAGGGGGTCCAGGCGGGGTCACGGGCAGCGAGGACAGCCAGGGCTCCCAGGGTCTCCAGCGGGATGGAGGCGTCTGCGGGGACCAGGCGAGGCCACCCACCTCTTGACGTAGCTGCTGAGGCGGTAGAGCTGCCCGTCGAGGCGCACCAGGCCGTCGCCGAAGACGTTGAAGCCCCCGCGCGCGGCCGCGGGCTCCCCGGGCCCGGGCACCACGAGCTGGTCGCCGCGCAGCTGGAGGGCGCCGGGCTGCAGGCGCAACAGCTGCGCCAACGGCAGCAGGGCCAGCTCGCAGTCGCAGGTCCACAGGCTGCGCAGCTCCCCCGACGAGATGGAGGTCAGGCTCGGCCTGGCCACAGGCTGGCACGCCGCCCCCGCCATGCCCCTGCGGTCAGTGCTGCCACCGCCTGCCCCCGTCCCGACCCCACAGGCACCTGACGGTCCCCCAAAGGGGCCGAGCGCCCTGTTTGCGGAGGAGAGGGGCACGGTGCGATCTGTCCCCTGGCGCGGTGGCAGGCCCCTCCCGAGCTGCGGCGGCTCCCGGGGAGCGCTGCAGGCACCGCGCGGAGAAAGAGGCTCCGGCGCAGCGCGGCCCCTTTTATCACCCTTGGGGCGGCCGCCGCGCCCCTCCCGGCCCACGGCCACGACCCCAGAGGCTTGGGGCCGAGTTATCATCGTCTCATAACTTGGCACACTCCCGCCTTGCCGCGCCTGCCCTCCTCCAAGGCTTAGTCATTCCCCTCGGGGCCGCTACACCCGGGCTGGACCCCGCCCTGCCTGCTGGACACTGCCCGGGCCTGGGGCTGGGGGATCCCGGGGCGCCCAGGCCTGGCCCGTGGGGGGCGGCACCCACCGCGCTCTCCACCTGGACTGTCGTGGGGGCGATGCAGGAGCTCCGATGCCCACCCCCGTGCCCCGCCACGATTTGGAGCCAGCAGTCAAGCGCTCCTCCCAGCCTCAGTTTTCTGCTTTTCTCTCTCCATCCAGATCATACCCTGCATTTCCTTCCTCTTAGCCTTTCCTCGCGCTGGAATCCTGCGCCTGGATTCCCTTCCACCTAGAAATTCCACTGCTTATCACTTCATTTTTCCATAGAGCCTTAGCGAGTTTCCCGTGGATTTAATTGCCTGGCTTCTGCTGCTTGGTGGACCCTAGACCACAATGTGCCATGTAGAGGGGACAGGAGAGACCTAGCAGCCCTCACTCCGCCCCGGCCTTCCCAGTAGGTTGTGAGCTCCTAGGTCCTGGAATAGGCTCATTTGTTCACTTCCTCTAGTGCTAGCGATGTGCTCATTCTGTGCACATAACCCAATGTGCTTGCTCTCCTGAGGCCAGGTAGGAAGACTTCCGTTCAATTTAATTAACTATTTCGGGAACATCTAGAAAACAGACAGTAAGCTAAATTCTGAGATGACAAAAATGAGTAAATGCAACCCCTGCTCTTGCCTAACGTGGCCTAATAGAGGGGCTGACAGGCTTTCCAGCAATCACAAGGCACCAAATGAAAAGCTCTGCTGAGGATAAACCAGTATGTTGCAGGAGAAGAATTTAGCCCAGGTTTGAGGAAATGGGGATACTTCCTGAAGTTCTGTGATTTAAGGCTCTAAGTTATACCCTAAAAGTTGAGTAGAATTTAGAGAATATCTTTGATTTGTCTTTGTGTGCCCCAACACGGACCCTTGCATAGGTTTAATCAAATCAAATGATGGGTTCTCCTGCCATATCTCATTTAAATCCCCAAATGCAGATGAGCTCTGTTCTCTTCCTCTGCTCCAGGAGCACAGCTTCTCTTTCTCCAGACATGGTCTTTTTGCCCAGGACCAATCCCCATTTCTGGGCCTCTCTGAACAAATGTAACTTACTAAGCTTGCACTGATCACTACTGAATCAGTCTTTTTCAGGAAAAGGACAATCTGCCTGTGAAACAAGCAGGAGACTCTTGCAAAGTGAAGCTTGAGGCTCACTGCACAGAGGATGGGTCTGATGGGCAGGCCCCTGAGGCTGGGGCTGATTTCCCGGGCAGGGGGGATGTGATGTTAGACCCACCGTGCCCTATCCAGAACTTCACTCTTGTCCCAAACATTTACGAGGTCATTGCTATGTACCAGGAACCATCTTAAGCACTGAGGTCACGCACACACTAGGACTTGGTAGAGATAAGTGCTACCACAGATATCCGGGCTAAGTACTATGAAGGCAAGATCAAGGCAGTGGTTGGTTCTGCCTTAGAGGCCCCAAAAAGGGTGCTCAGAGGAGGTGACCTATGGGCTGGATTTAGAAGACAGAGAACCAGCTCCCAGGTGAAGGAGCATCATCAATAAGAAGTTGGGAAAGAAGATTCTGGACTGGCCAATGCAAAGAGAGAAGATATGGTTTATTGGGGGTTGAGTGGGAAATTTTAGGTGGCTAAAGCAGACCATACCTAGTTGGGGGGAAGGGAGTGAGTTTTATAAGTGACGAGACCAGAAAGGGAAGTTGGGGCCAGATTGTGACAGGCCCTCTGAATTGTCTAGCAATTTAGATTCTTAAGGCTATGAGGAGGCTCTGAATGTTTTTAAGGAAGGAAGCAATGTAATTATGCCTGAATTTAGATAGATAGCTTTGGCTTTGGCCACAGAGAGGATTTTTAAAACAGGAAGATTGGAAGCAGAGAGACTAGTTATGAGACTGATGTGATTAGGGTCTGAATTAACAGTAGCTGTGCACATGGAGATGACAGGATGAATTTGGGACACTTAGGTAGAGCCAGCAGAATTTCATGAGCAAATAAATGGAACAGAGTAAAGAGAGACATTTATCTCAACGGGATACCTAGACAAGACCATGATGCCATGAATGAATCTAGGCGTTGTGAGGGGTGACATGTTATATGAGAGTTTTATGTCAGAATTACATGCACTAGGGCCGGCCCGGTGGCACACTGGATAGTGCGCCGCTTGGGAAGCGCGGTGGCTCTCCCGCCCGAGGGTTAGGATCCCACATGTGGACCAGTGCCCGCTCACTGGCTGAGCGAGGCGCGGGAGCAGCACCGAGGGTTGCGATCCCGTTGCCGGTCCCCGGTCCGGTACGGGGGCAACACTGAGGGTTGTGATCCGTTGCCGGACACGGAAAAAGACAAAAAGACAAAAAAAAAAAAAAAGAATTACATGCACTTGCTTAAAATTAACATAACAGTTCCTCCCATCAAAATCTGTTTCCTTTACAGTAAAATATCAACATTTATTATCTGAGTAGAAGGATTAAATGAATTTTTCTTTGCTTCTCTATAGTTCTCTGATTTTACAATTTTTCTGCGCTTCCCAAATGAATGTGCATTGTTTTGCACAGAAAAATGATGCTGAGCATAATAAAAACGTTTGATGCTTTCTTGGTATGTTACCTAGAGGTTTTGTTTGATGCATTTTCAGTAAAACACCTGCATTTCTTCAAGGATAATTTATGTACTACCAAGATTCCAGAGAAAGAAGATTCTGGACTATGAAAGATATGAAAAAATGAGCAGAAAAAAATAGTGTTCACTGTAATGTCAGCCGTTGCTAATCAGTGCAGAGCCAGAGAGATCTTTTCATGTCTAGTTTCTTTTTCATTACCAAAGTACCAACCAGGCAAACATAATCACTGCTAGTGAAGACCTTTTCGGTCTTTTTTATATTGTTGGTCTGTTTACACACTTGCTTTTATACTGAAGAACTTTTATTCTGCTTTTCTCATTTAATACTATATGTATATCATATTTCAAAAATTGCACTCTTTGTAAATAATATTTTAAACCATTGTTATTTTCCATCAAGTGGACTTACTGTTGTTTGTCTAGACATTCCTTTACTCTTGAACTTTTAGATCGTTTTCAGTTTTTCCTTACTATAAGCAATGCTGCAATGAACATCTTTGCCCTTTAATTTTTTCTGTATCCAAACACTGGAAATGGGATTATCCGGAGGGCCTCAGCCGCGCCCCCCTGATGTCTGCATCCAGCCCAGAGAGGAGCCAGACGTGGGCCAGCTCCATCCCCTCCACCCCCTTCCCCACCCACTGCTCAGCAACAACATCTTAGAATGTAAAAAATAGTAATAATAGATAAATAAAAATGTAGGGGGGAAAGCATTGTAGATGTGGGGTGGGAAGTTAATTAATAAAACTATTATGTTATGAAAAAATGGAATTGTAGGGCAAGTGGAATGAGAATTTGTAAGGCTTTGGAAACATGGACCATTTTTTACCAAAAGAATTGTAACACTTTGCTTTGTCATTAGCAGTGAATTCTCCTGGTTTTAAATCTTTAGTACTGGGGTAGGATACCTCATAGCTATTTACATTTGTGTTTCTTAGATTACAAGTGAGGTTAACAGGTGAGCTGCAGAGGTTAACATTCAAATGTAGACACTGTTTACAGCCAAGCAATCACCCATTGGTGAGTTTGTGGCTTTGCTTGCAGTTAAAACAAGACAAGATAAAGATCTTGCCACCCAAAGTTGGTCAAATTCAGAGACCCTGATTTGAATTTACCAAACTCATAACAGGCTGAAAACTAGTTCCACACCACCACTACCTCTGTTCTTGGATTTTCTGTCAGCACACAAGTATCTGTAGGCTATCCTATCTTAAACAAAAATAACTCTTTAAACATTTGTACATCTTTTTAGCTACTTTCCCATCTCTCTTCTTCTCTCTGTAGTCAAACTCCCTTAAGTAATAATCTAAATTCCTTGCCTGCCATTCACTCCTCAAGACTTTATACCTTGACCTCTGCCCATTGTGCCACTGAAACTGACCTCACTAAGTCCCCAATGACCTCTGAGTTGCCAAATCTAACAGATGCTTTCTGTTTTCACTAGATCACATGTGTTCCTGCAATTCTCTCCTCCCTTAGCTTGTGAAGAAGCTGCACAATGTAGTGAGAAGTGCAAAGATCGCAGAGTTTAAAACCTGACTCTGATATTTGCTAGCCATACTATCTTAAGCAAGTCTCAACTTCTCTAATTCTTAATTATCTCATCTCTGAAAGTAGTGCGGTACAAAGAGAGGCAGAAGAGCGACTCAGTTAAGAGCTCAGGCTTTGGTGCCTTATCGCCTGGGCTGCAGTTCCAAGTCTAGCTCTGCAACCTTGAACACATCACTCCTGCCTGCTTTGGTTTCCACGTGTGTAAACAGTGTGGCTTTGTGAGGATCTGAGGAGCAATTGCAAAGTACTCTGAGCAGTGTCTGGCACGTGGTAAGTGTGATTTAAGTGTTTGCTCAATGCCTACATCCAGGAACTTCTGTAGGAATTGAGTGAGATGGCAGCCCTCATGTAGCATCTAGCACAGTGCCTGATCCTCATTCAGTAGTGCCTGCTCCCTGTCTTCTGCTCTTCCTCCCTCTTCCCTGGCCACCCCTTTTCC